ACGAGGTTGAAAGGGGGTCAGCGTCGTATTTAAGGTTGCGCGGGGCGGGGAATGTCAACAAACTTCAGCTCCACACTATCTTGGCTGTAAATCATAGGTTAATAGTGGGAGAAACATGCAGGACCCTGGGCCAGTGGCTGGAGATGTTGGCGCAGCTGGAAAGGAAATGGATGGAGAAGCTCACCTGCAGTAAAACTCTTCTCCAAATACCTCTCTTTTACGCTCTTTAAGCCATTTGGTGAGACTCTTTGCTTAGAGTGAATTACAATGAATGCAGTATCTGGGTTAGGGTTAGGGTAACCCTTTGAATTGCTTTATGACCAGCATACCACAGTGCCTGTAAGGGAATGCTATGGCAATATTCCTGTGTGTGTGTTGTGTAATAGAAGCTTTGAATATAGAACAAAGCCAGTCTAGTCCAAACAGAACGTTTTTACTTTATGTTAATACAACAGTTTCCAACAAGAACGCTAGAAGACGGGGAAGATGCACTCGACATACTCGTAACATAAACAGGAAAGAGAATGAGCAGGACACATACTTGCACTTCAAAATAAAAGCATTTCCTGTCAAACATTTCACCCTTAACTATGGACAATGTTCAGGCTGTTTATTGAGGGACTGGACAGCAAATTAAAATCAAGTGATGCATCAAATGAAATGGAATGCATGATCTCTGCTTCACAAATTAGGAATAGATAAATGTCTGAATACTCACACACATATGCAACCCAGGGGTGTGTAGCAGGAGAGATGTGGTTTTTCGAGTGCTCCAATTTACTGTACTTTTGTTTCTATTATGTGTGAACCGGCCATTTGTCTGCCTCTTCAAAGGGCTACTGTTTGCCTCTCTGAAAACGATGTGTCGACAGCCGGTGTAAAACAGTATAGCCTTTGCACAGTCTCCATGAGTCAGCAGAAGCTTCCAGTAGTACGGTACAGCAGTAAATGTTAGTCCCTGTTCCCCAATTACTAAAACCCAGACTAGCCAGGGTGTCAAATGCAGAACAATGGCTGCAACGTGTGCCTTTGCTGAAGTATGCATGTGCCTTTTTACCACTGAACATGTTGAGGCGGCTAAAATAGTGCTGGATTTTTATTAAAGGTCCCCTATTATACTGTTTTTCATTAATATATTATAGGTCTCAGATATATACAAACATGTCTCTGAAGTGTTTGGCTCCAAATACCAAACAGATCATGCATTGCAGCATCCCATAATTCCCTCTGTTTCAGCTCTGTTTCAAAAGTGCTGATTCTCTGTCTTTTACTTGATAGAAATAAGGAGCCCCTCCCTACGCCCCTCTGAGAGATATTTGGTTAAAAAGAACTCAATGGTGCTCTAGGAGGAGATTCAGGCGACAAGGTGGGCGGGTGTTACCTTCTTTTTTAATTTTTTTTTATTAATCCCTCGTGGGGAAATTGTTTCTCTGCATTTGACCCATCCTAGTGTTAGGAGCAGTGTGCTGCCATTTTGAACGGCGCCCGGGGAGCAGTGTAGGGAACGGTGCCTTGCTCAGGGACACCTCGGTAGCACTTGGTCTTGCCGGGACATGAACTGGTGACCTTCCAGTTGCCAAGCCAACTCCCTCTCGACTTCGCCACCACCGCCGCGTTGGTGATTGGCTAATGGTAATGACATCATAAAGGGGCCAAAATCGGATCAGCTCATTTTCAGACAGGTTTTTATATAAATGGATCAGGACAAAAAGTGAGCTAATCTTTTTTCCTGAAACTTTCAGAATCTCTTTACACAGAGGGGACACATGTTGATGTATACAAGATATGAAAAAGTACATTTTGAAAAATAGGTGACCTTTAAACTACCATAAAGCCGTTTACCTTTATGCCAACAGAGTAATTTGTTTGTACATTTGAGTATTATGGTCAGTTCCAATTCCCTCCTGACAAAAAGTTGGATCAACCAATCATCTTGTTTAACCCTCAGGGAGACACAGCATGTGTTGAAATAAGAGAGGCTTCTCTTAGCAATCCACAGGCGCCTCTAAATGCACGAGTATTTGCTCTGACGGATTTTGAAAGGCCTACAATTATCACATAGCAATTGGCCACGTCTGCAGAGGTGATAAAAAACATTGAGACTTTGAAATGTATCTTGGCAGAAGTATTAGAAAACAGGTTATGCTTATCGTGTCTGAATCCACTTCACAAAATGCAGGTAAACTCCTAAATCATGAGGTAATTGTAGTCCGTTGCGAAGGGAGCCTTACTTAAACTCAATTATGTGATTCAGGCGAGACAACCATCGCTGGAAAAACTGAGACGGGATCATTACCTGTTGGAATGTAAGTGTGGAATTCCTTTTTGATAAGCTCAATTTCAGAATAAGGTGTGTCTCAAGATTAGTTTTCTCTTCTGGGTTGTGTAGCTCTTTCTCAGGTCCACTCATCTCTCTTTCATGATGGGTGCATAAAAGATTCAAAATGGTGTGTCTGTGCATATTTCTGCCAGTGTGTTTGCACATGTGTGTTCATGCATGTGTTTATGCGTGCCCCTTGTGTGATCACGTCTAGCACCATGCCCTTTTCTTCACAAAAAAATCCCTCCCGGCACAATAAGACAGGCAGACATTTTTAAAGCACATCTGCTTCATCCACAATGTTTCGTTTTCGTCTGGAAAAGTCTGTGGCTGTGGCTCAGAAACAATTGAGGTCAGGCCTTTGCTCGCAGAATGAGAAAACATTTAGGGAGACAGACAGACAGACAGACAGACAGGGTGCATCCACGAGTGCATTCCTCAGAGCTCAGGAGGAGTCTCGGAAGATTCCTCACGTCTGAATTTCGCTGCTTCAGAAGTTTAGAGATGCAGTTCATGGAATCTTTTTTTTTTTACATTTTATTTGTATTTTAAGAAAATATTCACAAAGCATACTTTTAACAACAAATCCAAAAATAAATAATAAAATAATATTAATAATAATATTACAAATAAAATAATGGATACATTATTAATACTCAGGTATACATTAATTCATTATAATGTTCTATACTTAACCCATTTTCCCTCAAAGACACTGAAACTGTACTTTGAACATTTTAAATTGTATACCCCGTTTATCTAGGCCCTTTTTGTTTTATGTGTATATGTCACACTGTGGGACTGTGGGAAACGGTATCTCGAGATTTCTGGATGTGTAACACATGTAGTAATTTTGACAATAAAGCTGACTTTGACTTGAGATATGCATTTGGTTTCTAATTCTCATAGTTACATAGATTTCATTTACTCGGTTATTCCATTTCCATTGTGAAGTTATTATCTTTTAGCCAATTCCTTGTAATTCGTTGATGATCGCTATTCTAATCACCAGAAATAGGTAGGAATCTTTTTTTTGTATTTCCTCTGGTGTTTGTCTCCAGTAATAGGGATTCTTATTTAGAGAAATTACAAATATATTGGACCTTTCTCTTCAAACTGTTTCCCAGAAGTCTCCCAACACATTACAGGCCCAAAAGATGTGCATGGTTGGCTCACCGCATTCTCTCCAGCATTTTGAAGTGAGGTTCTGTTTGTATTTACTTTGAAGTTGGGGTGTCTTAAAGTATCGAATTAAAATTTTCCATGTGTTATCTTTCCATTAGTTTGAGTTGGGTGTGTTATGAATGTTTTTGCACATTTGTTCCCTATCTACTACTGGTATATTGCAGGATATTTAATTAATAATGCTGCATTTGATGTGGTCTAAGACTACAGAATGACGCATTTAAATCATTGCCCTCACTCTGATTAGGCTCCCTTAAGTTGTTTATAAATCATTTTCTCAGTCTGATGATTGCATCCATCAATCATAGGATCATACCTCCTGTCAGAGACATACAGTAATGTATAATTATAATATCCAGAGCTGGGACTCCCCTAGGCTCTGATGCTATCACAGAAAGAAAGCATGAACAACTCAGAGCATTCAACATGTTGTTGACTTTGGATAAATCTAGTTGCTTATCGCTATCATCTCCACTCGTTTGAGTGCATTGCTCAGTGTGGTGCACACGTGTCCAAACAGAACTCCATGTGTTAGAATGCATGAGCGTAGAGTTATGTCTTTGTGTTAATATCACCTACATTATCAGGAGACATTCTGTTGCCATGATGATTTGTACAGAATCATTTCATTGCCATTTCTACACTGTAGCTATATGACAATAAAAGCTTTTGAATGTTGAATCTTCACAAAGTAAAGACATCTGAAGGCCACATGGCAGCATTAGAGGCATGTGTTCTTTGTGTGCTCATCACATTTCACCTCGTCAATAATTGATGATCTGCCGTGGTGAGGTAGGCTTCATTGTGCCTGGATGGGTTGGGTGGGTGCTGACATGTGGCTCCTGTTTTCCCGCTGCCCCCCGGGTGCAGACGGGGGTCCGTGGCGGGAGACAGGAGGTCAGGAACCAGCTGTGGTCCAGGCGACGGAAACAGACGCAGGTCAGAATGCCGCTCGCCATTTTCTTGGTGATTGATAGGAGCTGCCTAATGTGTTGGGACCAATTGAACGGTCACAGATGTGCAAACCCCGCCCCTTAGACGCTTGAAGCAGTGTTGACACTCAGGGCAGTGCCATTTTGGTGTTTGACTGCAGAAAGGATCATTCAAATCTTAAAGGAACAACTCTTTGATGATGTGGTATTAATACTAAGATGAATTCAAGAGGTAAGGTGTGATATAATCAGAATCAAAATCCCTGTATTCATCCGACTGAGGGGAAATCTCCATTGTTACAGAACACATAGCCATAAGTATTAATAAATACAAATATTAATGATAAAAGTAGAAATTACAATTTACAAAAGTAACAGTTTTTTTTTTTTTTTTAAATAAAGTGTAGCATCAATAAAGTAGTGTGATATCTGGTAGTAGAGCATACATGTGGAAGTATATATTGCAAACTTGCAAAATTAGAGTTGTGCAAGGTTTAAAAATGATACATTTTTCATCTATAAATATGTACACTTTCATTTTCAGGACCTCACGTTTGCAAATCCATGTTTTTTAATCCCATCTCGCCGCCAACCTCCTGGCAGATCTGTTTTCCTACCAGGCTGGGTTGGATGTTATAACTTATCAAACGCCTCACTAAGCTCATTGTTGCACTCTGAGGGCCGGGGTTGAAACCCTGGATGGGTACAGAAGGTTACATAACACGGCCGTAGGAGGATTAAGGATAGGAATGACCGGTCCGAAATCCGCGCCAAATTGTAGCCCGAGTCCCTCTGAACAGGAAGCACTATGTGGGCCACGGGGATTGCGTGCTAGCAGGGCTCTTAACCCAGCAGGAGTGCAGACGCTAATACATAAATGCATGGCAGCGCTGCTCTCATCCAAACATTTATGCATCCCTCACGACCACTCTGTGTACATCTGTGGTTCAGAAACCATTGAGATGTTTAGCTCGCTTTAAGCCTCCATGACAATATTGCAGTTAGTTTATATTTGTGCATCTTTTATACATCCTGCAGGGACAAGGCTTTCGCATTATGTGCCGTTTAATCTGTTTACATCAAAGTCAAAGTTATTGTCAATCTTTCAGTTTGTGTGTACAGACAGAGAGATCGAAATTTCCCACAATCCCGAATACAAAATACAAATATATGTATACAAATATGTATATCCCTGTATATATACACAATCAACACATTTACACATATGCACACATTAAAGGTCCCCTATTGTACTGTTTTTGATCAATATATTATAGGTCTCATACCTATGCGAGATATTTGGTTAAAAAGAACTCAATGGTGCTCTAGGAGGAGATTCAGGTGATAAGGTGGGGGGGGGTTACCTTGGTTGCTGATTGGCTAATGGTTACACAACCCAACAAATCGTTATGACATCACAAGGAGGCAAAAATCTGATCAGCTCAATTTCAGAAAGGTTTTTATAGAAATGGATCAGGACAAAAAGAGAGAAAATCTTTTTTCCTGAAACGTTCAGAGTTTCTTTACACAGAGGGGACACATGGTGATGTAGAAGAGGCATGAAAAAGTGGATTTTGCATAATAGGTGACCTTTAAGACATAAATAAAAGCACAACAATCAATATATATACAAACTAACAGTCACTTCAATATCTTTGAGAAATATACATTAGTGCAAGACTGTCCATAGCAGCGTAAAAAAGTGTCTGGTGCTGGATTTGAGTGTCTGAGTATGTGTGTGTGGGTTGTTAAAGTCCAGGTCCTGTGGGGCAGGGGGAGTTGGAGG